GAGAATCGCATAGCACGGCGCAATTTTATAAGTACGTTATGTTAAGCTAGCAGCGCAGCGGCATGCAGGCTTGGTCTGTGTTTGGTGTAAGAGATTATCTATATTTATATATATATTGAAGAAACCTTTTTATATTTTTTTTTTAACTTTTCCCTTCCCTGCCTAATTGAAATATTTGACATGGCCAACAAATTGCATTAGTCACACTGTGCGAGTGCACGAAAAACGCAAATCGAATGAAGCTAGTTAGTACACAGTGTGCATAAAACTGCGACTGCGGCTGCGAGCGTGGGAAAATAAATACGATGGGGCAGCTGCTCGGGGCCTGGTCCCTGGCCACCGACGATGACATGGGCCAGTCGACAGCGATTGTGACTTGTGACTGTGACTGCGCCAGGGAATGTTACTGCGATTGTGACTGTGACAGCGACTGTCGATGTGACTGTGACTGCGACTGTGACAGCCACTGTGACTGTGACAGCGACTGCGATTTTGACTGCGACTGTGACTGTGACAATGTTTGCCCGTGTTAATTCTTTTGGTCAAGCAAAGAACGCCTGCAACCGACTGCGCAATACCCTGTTCACAGTGTTAATATCGATTGTATAAGTCTGAAAGGCGTTTCCTTGATTGATTAGCTTGATTACTGCAAGATTCTAACCAAAAAGCAGAGACTTTCAAACTGTGACTAAAGAATATAACGACTTTTGCCTGTACGTAATATTTAGCTCGTACTTAGAAGAAGCCCAGCCTAATGGACCTGGCCCCGAAATATACTCTGCACTCGACCCGTATACCCTCTCGCTCTGCCAACACCTTGCGTACAGGGTATACACCGGCAAACACGAAACGACGGCTATTTCAACGACTTTGTTGTTGGGCTGTCGGTTGTGTGTTTTTTTAGGGTCAAAACACTTTTCAAAATCCAATGCAAATGCGAGTTCTGATTGAATGGGCAGCGATGCGGATCTGAGCCGCGCTGCTGTTGTTTATGATTTTTATACTATTTTATGATCTTATGATATTGCTGCTGCTGGCCGACGGACTTATGGACTTTCATTGATGGAAACTTTCAAAATGGGGAAGAAAAAAATTGGCTTTTTGGCCATCGAGAACGGGCCGGCGGGCAAAATGCGAACAGGTTTTCTTTTTTTTTTTCAGATACGCAGATACATTTTGCAGATACTTCATTTCGCTGGTTCGCCATCAAACTAACAGTTAGCTGCTAATGTGTGAGTGTGCAAGTGTGTGTGCGAGTGTGCAAGTGTGTGTGCGAGTGTGTGAGTGTTTCACAAGCCATCAGCAGAAGTACATAAATTACATTGGCAGTTTGTCGACGTCGACGTCGTCGTTGGCGTTGATTGTTGTTGAAGTTGTCGCCTGATCGGCCGCTTTGTTGCCGGCATTGTTTGAGCCAGGCCTACAAAAGTCTCCCAAGATTTTATTGGCTCGTTCTGCGTCGTCGTCGTCGTCGGCGTCGGCGTCGGCGTTACCGTTGCGAAACGTGTCCACAATGGAGTCCGGTCCGGTTAAATGCGTTTTAGCGAGCATATAATAGAAAATCTTGCGAAATATTTATACGTACACACATATCTAACTCGTACTCATACTCATAGTCGTACTCGTACCCGTACCGCTTAAGTATCTCAACTATCCATACGAAATTGCCAGGCAATTGAAAAAACAATGTGGCGAGCATTTTGAGCCGCAATTGAAATGAATGCCCCGCTATTCATTGGATGAACCTGAATGGCTTTTGGTTATCCAACTGAATGCCACATAAGACACCAGCAAAATGTTGTTATATTGTTTTTGTTTCATCTTCTTCTTCTTCTTCTAATTGCTTAACAAATTCATTTTCACATCTTTTGATTGCAGCTGCACAAAAGTAGTTTATATTTTTCTTAACTTGTGTTTAATATAATATTCATACACTTTAAATTAATTAACATGATTACAGTTCATTTTACTATGCTGCTTATGTAAGTTTTAATTTAAAAGAAAATAATAACTGCAGCATTATTTCTTGGATCATTTTTTCATCATCCAAAAAGTTAACTTGCAAGCTCAAAGATTCAATTACTTGACCCTTAGATATTGTGTTTTGTCTTAACTAGGAGTTAAACTATTTTTATGTTTATCTATTCATTGTGTTTTTTTTATTACTATTTAACAGCCAAGCTGCAGAGCACTGACATTGTTTTTTCTTTTTTTTTCACACACAAACTTAGACGACCCGCCCTGTTCCTCAAAATCGAGTTATATTTACGTGGATTTATATACTTGACGAGCCCACAACTGAATTGCTTTAACATTTATTTTTATGTTTATATAAATATATATACATATATATATATATATGTAAAATTGTACTTACCCAAAAATTCACCCACAAACGTATGACTATTTTATTGTTATCGTAGGAGGCAGACAGAACTTGTTTGACACACATCACAGAAAGAACGAATTAGAGTGTAAGCACCAGAGAAAAATATGAATAAAATGGGAGAGAGAGAGTGAGAGGGGGAGAGAGGGAGTGAGAGAGATAGACAGAGATAGAGAGAGAGAGAGAGAGAGAGAGAGAGAGAGGGAGAGGGAAAGAGAGAGATAAAGTAAATTAGAGTGAGAGTATAAGCAGAGATAAAATTGATCAAACGGCTGCAAGCCTTATTTGAATCCATGAGAATCACATAGAAAGTCACAATTTTATAAGTACGTTTTGTTAGGCTTGTCTCTGCTCTATGTAAGAGATCATGTATATATACATATATAATATATGTATCATATATGTATACACACACACGTATATACAAATAAGCAGGTGGTTCTTTAATGGTAACCAGGCAAGAGCCATGTCTCTGCTAATAAGGTCATGCCATTCGAAAGTCCTGTTTCAAAAAGAAATCAAATCATTTCTTCGAGTATTCAAAAAAAAAGGCATGCTCCAATAATACCTCCTTAAAGAAACGCTATCAATAAATTATAAACAAAAGATGTGTTGTGCGCTATCTAAATAGATTGACAAACAGTAAAACAGGTCATGCTATAAAGCGAGTAGTTATCAAAATAGAATGAAAGAATATTGCCCGCACAATAAAAAAAAAAGAACTCCGAGAGGGCCAATCACATTTCAACAGCTACGCGTTTGGGAACTTAACAAGCTTCAAGCAATGTCCAAAATGTACATATAACAAAATCAAGGAAACGAAGTTGTAAGACAACATTTGTATATGCAGCATTCGTTTCGAGTATTTTAGAATGGATGCCAATTTATAATTAAGTAATTTTGAGTATTTTCGTATTCGTTTCCTCATTATGTTGTGCAAGTCAGCAGAATTGTTATTATTGCTTATTAGATGTGATTAAACATAACTAATTGGCATAATCGTATTTAAGAACTCGTTATATTAAAAGCCCAAATTCATAAATCTGACCTTTCAGATGAAGCAATAGGTCTAACAAAAACAGAGAAAAACATAGAAGTGTACACAAACAAAGAGTATATAATTTTTATTATACTTTTCTAGGGCAAAAAGTTATATTGAAATCTGTAAATCGTTTAGTTAACTTTAGACTATGCCTGAACCTGCCCTAACTGACACTTCTTTGTTTATCTATACCCTTGCAGTTGCTCACATCATTTTGTCACGAAATATGTAACGTTTAGAGGGAGATCCAATCCCCGATCCAATAGTCAAAACAGTCGAGACGTCTCTGTCTTTTTCATTCAAGAGACTTTGCTTAGTCCCGCATTTCTGTTGCATGGCGGATCGGACGACTATAACCTATAGGTGCCATTGACATTATGTGTCCAAAATTGAGAAGTTGTTCTTCTATGTTCTTCCAAAAATCTTGAGCAAACTTGATACTTATTGATTGCAAAATCGAACTACTTTATCATATAGTCTTAACAACATCGGACCTCTACATCATAGTATAGGAACAATCTGTCGAAAATGAGTTTTTGTTTATTATTTTATTTTTTTTTTCTCTTATTTTTAATACTGTTTATTATACAAACCTGGCGACCACAAACTTGATTCTAAGAGCATTATAGAACACACTTGAGTTCTGATTGGCACTTATAAAAATTAAAACAACATATTTTAGCATAACTATAACTTCTTAAAACATGAGCAAAATCAACATCGGACTTCTTTATCATTGTATAGGAACAGTTTCTGCATGAGCAACCTTTCTCTTGGGCGAACCTTACATTTATTAGCAGGACTTAAATCTTAATACATGAGCAACATCTAATCAAGATGGGACTTCTATATCATATAGTTCTATAGGAATACGTGGAAATGCACACAGGGCATTTGATGTTCGGTGTGGCGATCTTGTGTTGTGCTTGTTGTGTTTGGGATTTGTCAGGCATACCGGTTAGCTGTGCTTTGACTGAAATACCCAACTAACCTTGGGTGAAATTCTGAATGTTATGGCCAAAAGGTGGCACGGCCTGCCGATCTGCCGATCTGCCACCACCTGTTGCCAAATGCTGTCGCATCGCAAACCAGTTGAGGCTGAGTCCCAATAAAACTGAGCACCGTTGGACGTTCGACACACTGGACGCAGTGGTCAGTGGACACGGGAACGATAAAGCTGGGTTGTCGTTGCCAGAGAAATAGTCGCGCTTAAGTTAGTGGTTAGAATATAGGTCGACGAGTCTTGAAACGAGAAAGTGCGTCTGTCCGCGGGAGATGCCAGCACTGCGAGACAGCATAAGTGTGCGTGAGTGTGTGTGTGTGTGCGTGTGTGCGGCTTTTTACAAAAAAAGATGCATATTTCAAAAGCGGTCCACGCCGTTAGCATCAGCAACTAGAATGCGTCTTGGGAGTCTGGCCAGAGAATCGATTTGATGCTTGGGGACCGCACAAGTATATTTTTCATTTCATGGTAACAAAGAATGCAACTGGCCTTCGGCTAAGACTAGCTTCGACATTTCTATCTGGGATCATTAGATATTTATTGAAACTACAATCTTTTCTACATTATAGCTGCACGATTCGGGATGTCTGGGGCCACGCACATGGCGCTGCCGGCGCATGCCATGGGGCCCATGCCCGGAGCGGTTCCCGCTGCGGGAAGTGCTGCCTCCGGCCAGAGCCTGCCGCTGGGCAAGCGCGGCCACAAGCGCTCCGTATCGTTGGAGAATAATGCGCCGCTGGCGCTGCGCAGTACGCCGAGCTTGAGCAGCATGGGCCAGCCGGCGCTGGGATCACCACTGCTGCAGTTGCCTGCGCACGGAGCACTGCATACGGGCACACTGAAGTCGCGCCAAGAGCAGCGGCGTCTCAGTCAGAAGTTTGGCAGCCACAGTAATCTGGATGACGATGCATTCAGTGGAGCACAGATGCGCAGCAAGTTCCAGAACATACGGCAAATGTTCGAGCTGAGCCGCAGCTGCGTGGCCAGCGCCGGAGAGCTGGGAGAGCGAGCCGAGAGCAAGTCAGCCGAGGAGGCGCTGCAGTCACTGCCGGCAATGCTTGGTTCACAAACGTCGATTGTGCGCCGCACCACGCCCATAGCTGCCGGAAGCCGCCTGGCCATTAGCGAACAGCCGCAGCAGCAGCCGGGCGAGGCCAAAGAACAGGTGAGGCATGACATTGACTTGGCATTAGGTGTGCCATGGGGTTGGGTTGGGCGCACTTGAAATTGATTAATGTCGCGCTTGCGCCTTTCGCTGCAGCAAATCGGTGGCGGCAACTTTCTGCGTCCGATCGCCTTCAAGCCCATTCCCTTTGAGCCGGACTATCGCATTGCTTCCCAGCAGCATCAGCAGCAGCAGCATCAACAGCAGCATCAGCAGCAGGCGCAGCAGCAGCAGCCGCACTCGGCACAGCAGCCGGTGCCGGGCGAGCGTTACGGCTATGGTTCGACGCCCTCCCTGGTGCCGCTCTCCACGGCGGCCACTCACAAATTTGGCAGTAAGTAACCCACTTTCTAATGCCGTCAGCCGTTCTACATTTTTGCCTCATGCCAGGCACAACAGATCTGCGTCACTTGGCGGCGCGCAGACGCGGTCACCGAGTTGTCCAGCGCAGCAGCAACGAGGATGGCCTCGGCCTTGGACTGGGACTGGGGCTGGGTCTGGGCTTGGGTCTGGGCCTGGAGTGTCTCACTGGCCATGATAGGCCGGATGGCGGCGGCATCAGGTAAGAACAAGCTTCGCCTAATCTCTAATCAAGAATTTGGCAACTAACCCGAATCTTGGTCAACGATTTGTAGCAAGGGGAATGCCGTGGCAGCTGGCAGCGATCTGACGCCCTCGCCCTCGGACTCGGGCATATCGGAGCTGGAGGCGGCACTCAAGGATCGGGACTCGGAGCTGTCGTACCTGCGACAGGCAATGGAACAGAATGAGAAAGTAATTTTCAAAGTCCAAAAGGTTAAATAACAAACACGCCACCCCGCCAGCCTCACTGATAGATGCCACATTGTCCACTTTCATTTCCAACAGGATAAGGAAGTGTACTGGGAGCACGAGACGCAGCGCCTGAAGCTCTTCTATGAGAGCCAGCAGCGCGAGTATCATCTCAAGTTCAAGAAAATGGAGCAGCTCCTGGCCTTGCAGCAGTTCCAGCTCAAGCAGCACAATCTGCGCCAATCCGAGCAGCTGCAGAAGTTGCAGCAGCAGCTCGATCTGACGCGTTGCAGCAACAAGAGCCTCAAGAACTCCGAGCAGCAGCTGCAGTGCTCCGCCCAGGAACTGAACCAGCAGCTGAACGAGGCTCAACAGACGATGGCCGCTCTGCGTGTCCAGCTGGAGGACAGCGAGTGGAAGGTTTGCGAACGCAACGGCGAAATAGCTTTACTCAAGACGCAGCTCAAGGAGGCGCATGTAAGTTCCGCTTGTGACTCCAGACTCCAAAACAATTCTTAACCTCAAATTATGGGCGCTGGTTCCAAAGTAATTCCAAAGTAGTTCCAAAGTGCTTCAAAGGTGCCTCACTTGATCGTTTGGGCCACCGGGCTGTGATGTTGCTGGTTCGAATCTCTATATAAAAGTTAGCTTGGAGGTTTCTAGAAAAAAACATCTTGAAATATGATACAATTCTATTTTTCATAGTACTTTTCAGTGGTCCAGCGACTAGGCAGTAGGACTAGTTCAAATTAAAATCTTAATTATGTAAACATTATCTAAATCAAAGATCGATTCGGCAACACAAACTTTGTAGAGTAGCCAATCTTACATCGCTTTGCCTGGCCAGAATTGATTGGTTTACCTCTCCACTAAACGTCCGTGGGTTTGGATGAAACAAAATTCACGGAGCACGTCCTAAATGAATTCACGCAAATGTATGGAAATAAGTATAGATCAAATAAGATTCAAAAAGTTATATGGAGCTGATATCGATTGTTATCGATTTTGGGGTAATGGGGCTTATCGATAATTTGACATAAATTCTTCCAAATTATCTAAAAAAGATTGCTTCCCAGGCATATATAAGTATATGTTGACTTAATGGATTCTCATTTCGTTTGCTCAGCTTGAAATCAACATGAAGGATCATGCAATTGTTAGCCTGAGACACAGTAACAACATCAACCATGTAAACAAAAACAACAACAACAACAACTATAACAACAACAACAACTATAACAACAACAACAACAACAACTGTAAGACAATAACATGCCAAAGTCAACCAAAGCAGCAGACGGAGGAAACCCAGCAACAGGAGCAACAGCTGCAGCAGCTAAACAAAATAATTGCGCTCAAGGATCAAGTGATTGGAGCGCTGACCAACGAGCTGGCCAAGCTGCGCAAGGAGCTATCCGATCTGGCCATTGCGCACGAGTATGGCGAGGAGCCGTGTGGCCGTTATACGCGCCTCAAGCAGCAGCTGGACAACTTGAATGAGATCTGCCAGAAGACGCGTAAGTATACGAGTCAGGCGGCGACGACAACAGCAAGACCACAGATAACGGCACCACAGCAACTGGACGCCATCATGGAGCGACTGCAGCTGGATCAGGGCCAGCCGGCGCAGCTAGCCCTAGATACACTCATCGAGGAGTCGACCACCTATGCCGAAGACATAGCCAAGCTGCGTCAAAAGCTCGACGATTTTCGCATCAATCTGGAGCTGGAGAAGCGTCAATGGTGCGCCGAAAAGGATAAAGTCCTTGGCTATCAAAAGCAGCTGCAGGCCCACTACATACACATGTACCAGAAGCTGCGCTGCCTGGACACTGCTGCCACCACAAACGCAGCTCCAGCTCCGGCGCAAGCGCCAGCGCCAGCGCCAGTTCCCACTGCAACGGAGGTAACCAACCAGGGCTGAACAGTTTCTCAATTGCCCAGCTCATGGTGCACTTGCTGAATATTGCTGAATAAGTCAGTATGCTTTGTCACATTGATGTCAATTAGTTACTACAGCAATAACTAAACAGATGCTTCTGATCCATTATCATTAAAAAGCAGAACGTGACTGGACTCACTTAAGCAATTGGATGAGTGATTGCTGTTTTCTGCTGTTTTGCCCGCTCCAGTAAGAGTCTTAACTCTTTGCAATACGATTTTGGCCTGCGTTTTGATTATTAATATACATTTATATAAATATACCATATATCTTGCCCGTACGATGCAACATTGTCTACGTTTAATTATCAATTACTATATTTATGCTATGCCCAGTTACCAGTCCGATCTTGAAAAGATTTGCATTTTTCTAATTTTGTAAACTTAATAGAATACCGACTATATATACCCAAGATATTCCAATTAGAACATTTTTTAATATAATAAATGACTAATTATTGGAATCAATATTTCTTGATATCACAAAATACTTTGATGCATGTTGAACACATTAATTTTATACCGGGCATCGCCGAGTTACTTCTTCTTCTTAAATACAAAATATTTTTCATCTAAAATAATTTTGAAGCAATTCAAGTTTGCCTAGCATAAATATAGTAAATGCCCCATATCGGATATATGATTTTGAACATTAAATACAATTATTTTTGTTATATTTATAAGAAAAATACAAGCTATACTACATATATGTATACGCATATATCTTTTGTTTTTAATTCTTTTCATAACTTATTAAATATAAAAAAAAAAATGTCGCGATGAATAAGAAAAAACAATTTTCGATTCTGGATTCGCATGTTTATGTTTAATATATATTCATTTGTGTGTTATATGTAGTTCCATTATGTAAATGAAAAAAAAAACAAACAAATTATATTTATTCAATATGATAATTACACGTAGTCAAGTATATGTGTGCAAGAGAAATGGCTTAACTGGGCGCTATAAATAATAATAATAAAAAAAAAAATATTATTTAAATATATATAATTTTGTGTTCCTTTTTTAACATTTAGATATTTTAATGCAGAGACCTTTAAAGCTCGTTGTAAGCATATGTTAAAAGGGGCAGATAAGCGAAATTAAATACAATATGACATTCTTCAAAACTCACGCACGCACAAACATACAAACACACGCACACACACTCATACAAGCTTAAGTATGCAATCACACTCTTACATAACTATGTGGCTTAGATATAGATACGATATGCTAGACACACTCCTCCACGTAGGTAGCCGGAAAGATGCCAATTTGATTGCGCAATGCGCCCAGCCACCAGCCGTCGTCCTGTTTGGCATGAACCTCGATAACATCGCCAGGACTCAGTTCCAGTTCGTCGTAGAGTTTTGGTGTGTAGCTGTAGAGCGCCTTGCAGCGCCCCAGCACCTGAGACTGGCCGCCATCTTTGGAGCTGACGCTGGTAAAATTGCTATTGGCGCCTTGGGAGCTCATGGATGAGCTTTGCACCTCCTGCGCATTTTGATAGAAATTCTGTGTTGTTTGCGGCTCAGCCTCATCCTCGTCCTGCGAACTAAACTCATCAAAGTCAGAGTCCTGCTGATTGGAGCCACCATCTGCCTGGCCGCGATCCCCGTTCGTCTGGCCAGCGGACAGCGTTTTGGACTTGGCCGTTACCGCCGTCGCCGTCGCCGTCGCCGCCAGCGATGCATTGGTTGTCGAGATTATCTTTGGTTGGCTGGTAAAGGTTTCAATATTGCTCTTGCTACGATTGAAGTGCTTCAGCAGCGCCGATGTGGGCGCAGCCACCACGCTAATGTTTGCACAGGAGCTGTTCGTCTGACTCTGCAATTGCGAATAGTCATCCTCCTCATCCGCGGTGGCATCGCTATTATCCTGCGACAGCAATGTGCTCGTATTCTGCGTCTTATCATTGTTCTTCATCCAGTTGGGCACCTTGAGAATGCTCTGCTGCAGGCCCGTGCGATCCCGTGTGATCTGTGGAATAAGTATAATTGGTTATAATTGTTGTTTCGATTAGATCGTGGGCATATATGTATCTGTACCTGTATATGCTGCGCCAGCGGATGTGTTGTGCGCGGCTTGTGGTCCAGCTCGAGCAGCGCCGAGTGCAGCTTTAGACGTGCGCCCTCCAAATAAGTCAGCATGGAGCGAATCTGCAGCAGATCAGCAGAGATCAAAATGAAAAGTTAAACCTTGTCAATTTTTTTGCAGTTACACCTATGAAAACGTACATGGTATAGCTTATCAGTAATGTTCTGATGCTCCTGGTTGTTGAGCGACTGTGATAGGCCGCGTAGCCCATCTCTAGAGCGTCGCTCCCGTTCCAAATCTGTTTTGACCAGCTGCAGCAGCTTGATCAGCGAGTGCTTGCGCCGCTCACGGTTCATAGCCAGCGTGGTGTGTTCACAATAGAAGTCGGGCAGTAGCTGCTCGCTGGGACCCTCGGAATTGCGGCGTATATTGCGCACCACCTGCATATCCTTGGCCACATTGCAAGCATCCAGCTGCTGCTGCAGACTGTTGGTTAGGCTGCCCAAAATGGGATTCATATCGGTGATAAGGCGCGCATATTGCTGCACAAAGTTATGCATGTTGCCCACACGGTGCTGCTCGCTGCTCTGCAGCTGGGAGGAGCCGCGAAGCACGGCCATTTCCCAGTCGACACGGGCACGCTCGGCGCGCACGCACAGCGTGTAATATTCAACGTCCGCCCGTTTGACTGCCTCCTCGGCCTTCTTGCGCTTGTTGTCCAGCTTGACGCAGTCTTTTTCGGCCGATTTGAGCTCCTTCTCGGCGGCCAGCTTGTTGGGCCCCTGATGTAGCAACGCTATCGATGGCGATTTCTGTATGCGCACGTCCAGCATCGCATCCTGCAGCTTCTCGTTCTCCCTAGCGGCCGTGTGCGAGGCCTTCTTGGCCTTTGCCTCGCTCACGCGCCACTCGCTCAGCACACGGGCCGCTTTGTCCACATTGCTTTCGACCTGGATTTAAATATACATATATTTGTTTAGGATCGCACTCGATTCGCATTGGCTGGACTAACTTACCGCCTTGCGGGTCTTGTGATGATTATCCACGACCGTCTTGAGCGGCTTGACAAGCTCATCGGTCAGCGAGGCTGCCAGCTGGCGATGGATGTCGCTGCGACTTTCCATTTCTGTAGCAACACCACGCCAGGCATCTGCTACACTTCCGGGTACCTCCCGGCCAGCTTTATTCAGTTTATTGGCCAACTTCGAGAGCGACTTCGAGTAGATCAGCTCCGAGTCGGCACTAGATGATTGGCAAAATGATTGGAATAGTGTTAGCGCAACATTTTAAATAATCACGAATATTTAACATATAAATTGGATCTGATCTAGAATATGAATACTTTATAGTTAAGGTCATGTTTCCTTCTGCTGGTCGAAAATCAATGTCATATCAATTCTAAGATCTAGGTGCAAAAATCCTTTTAAGAGGGGCAGGTGATTAATCTTTACCCACTCGAGTACCCATTCGGGAAATTAAGCACACAAGACTACGCTTATAATTCTCAAATAGGAATAGCTTCAGACTGAGGACAAGGCCTTGCAAATCTAAAGTTAATAGGTTCTAAGGGAGGTTATAGACTTTCACTTATCTTCACTCACACCAAGGAGCTTATACCTTGTTGTTGTCGGTTGTTAAAAGCAACATTGACCTGGAGCCGGCCAGCTTAAAGTTTAGGGAAGTTAACTACAATTAAAAGTATGCTTGATCTGCTTATTGTGTTCGGGAGTTTATATTTATGATCGAGATCCCTACTAATCCCAATGCGCAAAAAAAAGGTTTGCTGAGGACGCTTACGTAGCTAGAGCCTTTAGATTTGGAACACATGGAATACAATCGAAATGTCGTGCGGAATATTCGCAGAGATCTTAAACATTCCTTTTTTAATCTTTATAGTATATCCTAGGTAAGACTAGGGAGACTTACCGCTCTTGGAGAACAAATATGAGTTCTTTGCTGAAGTCACCGCCCTGTTTGACATAGCGTCTGAGTTCCTCGAAGCCGTTTTGTCCCTATCGAAGAAAGAGAGAGGGAGAGAAACTTTAAAAGAGATCACAAGCACCGGGTGGACATGTGAACGGGGTATATGTAAATGGTATTTGGCTGTGGATTGGGACCAAACAATGCTCTAGACTCGTCTGTACCTCGTCTTTGAAGCGTTTAGAGTGCGGTGACAGATCCTCCTCGCTGGGATGTTGTGACAGTGAAGGATCATACTCGGTGCGATCGGTGACATCCTCGCAGCTTTCGGTCATATCCCGATCGCGATCCCGACTGCGGTCCGGCGACATTGACTGGCGGCTGGCATTGCCGGTGGACTGATTAAGATTGGTTTTAGATTGAGCCACGCGTTTCAGTGGCGTTTGCTGGCGCACCGCCTCCTTCAGCTTGGTGCTCTCCTCGCCGAGCCAGTGCTTCATGCCGTGCCAGCCCTTGCGCAGTTTCTCCTTGTTGTGATTAAAGTTGATCAGACGCTGGTTCTTATTCTTGAGCAGTGTTATGCGACGCTCGTTGGGACGCAGCTGATCCCGATGCGTGCAGTACTCCAGATCGATTTCACGGTTAAAATCTTCCGTCTCGTTGATCTGTCTGGTTATCTCCTGCAGCTCATCAATGGACACAAACAGATTTTGGGCATTCAGGCTCTGATAGCTAACCGACTTGAGATCGTAGTCAAACTCCTCGTTGATGCTGATCTGGCTGTGGCTTCGATGGCTTCTGCTTCTGCTTCTGCTCCTGCTTCTACTTCTGCTGCTGCGACAGCTGGTCAGGCTCTGCTTGGAGCTTTGCTTCGACGGCATCAGCTGAAAGGAGTCGATGCTCTTGAAGCACTGCTGCTGCGCTAAAAAGCCACAAATGATGTGTGCGTTCGGCTCGGATACTTGACTGCCCTGCTGGCCACGTTGGGGCGTGCTATGGTTCTCCTTGTTGTCGCTGGCTGCCAAGCTGAGCTCACTGGTGCCATACAGTTCTGGCAGTTCGGGCAGGTTTAGGCCAAGCTGCGGCGGTGCCGTCATATTCATGTCCAGCGTCATCGATGGCGACTTGTGCAGATAGACCTTCAGCTCGGATCGATGTAGATTCTGTACGGATTGCGACTGTTGTTGGCGGGCAATGCGGGGCCGTCGCATTGGCGGATCCACAGCTGGTTGCGGGGGTGGCGGTGGCGGTGGTGTCGGTGGCGGGGACAGCATTCGGTCGGGTTGATGCGTTGGCGTTTCAAAATGCTCTGTTTCCGCATCGGCGCTAGTCAGCTGCTCGATTTGCGGCGTGCCACAAGCATCCACGAACTCTTCCTCATCCGAGCTGCGCGGCGTTAGGGTGCGCACTATCGAGGATGTCTTCGCAATGCCGCCCCCAATCTGTTTGAGACGCGCCTCCGTCACACCAAAGCGATCTGTGTCCAGAGTTGTGGTCGATATCAGAATGGGCGCGCCAATCTCAAGCCGATGGTCTTCGGAATTGCTGCCGGTCATATTGTAGCTGCCCGTGGCCAGCTTGCTGGGTGAGCCGGAGCGATCCTTGCCAGCACCCCCGCCCGACAAAGTCATGCTGCCCAAATGACGACGGCTGAGTTTATTCCCGAGCACCGAGTAACGTTTGATGCGGGTGAGGAATCCTTTGCCGCTGCTCCCATTATTATTATTATTAATGTTGTTGTTGTTGTTGTTGTTGCTAATGCGGTTATTGTTGTCCGCGGCGGCAGCGTTTGAAGTAATTTCAACATTGTCCTTGCCGCCCAATTTGAACTTATGCGCGCGCAAATGGTTCATCGTTCTACGCGAATTATTATAATTAAAATTTGATTAGCTTTTTGATTTGAATTCGATTTGACAGCTCTGCGTGAATCTCGCATACGTTCACATTGCGTGCGTGCGCACTGCAAATTGTCCAAAAACTGAGTGGATAAAGCAACTAGAACAGGCGACAAGTGCATAAGCAAGCGACAACAAGGAGAAGTGGAGAAGTGCCGGGGCAGAAGGAAGCCAAAGCAGAAGAATTAACACGAAAGAAGGCTGTTCTTTTTAATGTTGTGTTGGCATGTTCGGTGGACTTTAACTGCAGCACGACTACTGTACACTCTTTATGCGCTGACAATTCGATATTGTGTGCAATATTATATGTAAGTATTCATTTTTTTTCCACATTTCGATAAAAGTCAAGCATGAGTATATATAATATGAATTCGGATTAATATACAGTTAAATAATAGTCTTAATCCACAAAATTGTGCGTGGTGCATGAGCACAGCCCGTCAACTAATATGCTCGTGAATACCCTAAGTCCACATAACATAAAAACCAGACAACGCTAGGCCGACGCTCACCTACATACGCATCGCAAACGCACACACATAACATATCAGAATTGTTAAAGGGGGAGAAGCGCAAGCAGAGCATAAGAATCAGCTGAAGTCAAAAAGAGCAATAAAAGAGAGGCAAACGCACTTTCTTACTCTTTCTAACAAACAAGTGTTGCATTATTCGACCCCTACCAGTGCCTGTGAGGCTTACATGCATATGTATGTATTCCTGTACATAAGTGTGTATTCATATATGTATGTATGTACATACATACATATACAGCTTGGACAGAGCGACCCTCCGATTCGGACCCCCTATCAATGCTCTTTTGCTCCACTTTTAGTTCAGGTAAAGATTACAAAATGGTTTGTTTATTGAACGGCAGCGATGAAGGCAGCGACAACGGACAGCAAAAGAGTGCATTAGAAATAGGTGGGGAAGCAAAAAGAATAAGCAGGCAAAGACTGAAGATAAACACAGTGACGTGCGTTTGTTATGTCAAGAATCGCCGCGTTGGCATCGAATTGACAGCGACTGCCTGCCCTCAGCGACGGGTCGTCTGTATGTCTCCGTGTTGTGTCTTCTGCATCGACATAAACATATGTACATACATATGTACGTCAAAATCATATATACACAGCCATATATGCATAAACACACATTCATACACACACAATGTACATAATATTTTGTGTGCTTCTGATTTTAGCTTTTCATACCCTACATTCATAATATGGATTAAAATGTGAATAATCCGATGATTGACAACATAACAATGATGGAGGAAATATCAAAAACTCTTAAATGCACAAAGCTAGGTGGACATAAATATTTATGTATCCAGGAAAGTACCTTTTCTTGTATTTACATAAATGCATCTGATTAGTAGAACTGCGTATTATCACACCTTTGCTCTGGTACAGGGTATATTATGGTCGAGCACTCTTGACCAGAGAATTCTTATTTGTTTTCTGTGCCATTTTCGTTCCATTGCCTTTGCTTGCAATCGTGTCGGTAATTATAGAAATCATTTATTTATGAACTATTTACTTTTGAGTTAGGCGAAGATGATTGTTTCGAACTCATGAGCGGCCTATGCGACTGAGGAATGCCCTGCAGTGGAGCTATGAGCAGAGATTTTATGAAAATAATTATGATTTTAAAAGTAGTTCGGCTACGTGTACGTATTTTCCTACCTATAAATGTTACTTAAAAGAATGGGATGTACAATATAGGCTCCATGGCTTCCGTGACTAGCCCAACACGCCCCTTAAGCAGAGAGGTCTGTTTTATAAATTGCAATACAATGCACTGGGAAAAGTTAGTAGACTAAACTAAGTGAAATATATACATATAAACAAAATTAAATATTGCGACTAGGTACAATTACCTAAAAATTACCTTGTAATTTTGAGCGAAAATTTGTACATACATATTTTGTTAACTAATGCGTTTTTCTTAGTGTTTTTTGTACGTGTACTCAAAGCACAAGCATTTGTTAAACGATGCGTCAAACATCCCATTGAAAGTTGTAAGGGAGGGGGGCAAGGCGGCCAGTTAAAAACAAACGTTAAAAGCTGATGCTGCCGTTGATGAAGCTGCCTTCTGGTTGTTGTTATTAATATGAAAACAGATAGACACTTTCAAAAGAAGGTACGTACATATGTATGCATGTATGTATGTATGCTTGTCATTCATGTAACTGTTTTGCGTTGTAAGATAATATTGGTATAAGGTTCAAGCTAGGGTTCGGGTTCGGGTTTGTCTGGTTATTAATTGCGCTCTGCTTGTAACAGTTTGCGCTTTGCCTTTTCTATTCCGATGCCAACAGGCGAAACCGTAGTAAGTAAAACAATTTAATTACATTTTGCGAATTGTTGCTGTTAATGTTGTTGCTGCTGTTGTTGTTGCTGTTGTTGTTGTGCTTGCCTTTGCATTGTTGTTAAAGCAGCTAATTGCATTTGTTATTTGCAGCAAAAACACGTCAGAATGAGCTTGTTTAGAGTAGTCGCGGGTAGCTACCCTGTAATCGGCTTAAAGTACATATAAAAACCCACTTTGACCCACATATAAATACACTTACCCAAAAAATCTAAGAATATTTAGACAACACAGTTAAAAATTTACCAGCAGCTTGAATACCCTAATATTCTGATGTTAAGAATCTTAGAAAACGTCGTTCTTCAAAATTTGGTCCACCATCCTACGGCAGCTATAGTTAATAACTTGGCCAAGCTATTGAGTTTGCTAAACATATCACTTAAAGCAACAAGGCCAAAAGTTCGTGTGGCAGCTATATAGATGACATGATGGTCCGATCCGGACGACCCCGACATATTTTCTGCGACAAAAAGCTGGCTCAATGCCAAGTTTCATCTAGATACTTATATATATATGCCCGATATTAGACATAATTTTTACTATAATATATTCTATTATCCGAATTGTCAATCTTTAGAAATACCGCCGATGTTGAAATCTTGCGATCGAGCTTTATTTCATAACTCTTGCAATAACATTTAGAAGAGAGATTCCCCATATAGATGGGGAACTGAAAATTACAAACGGTGGAGCAGTTGTTTCTAGAACAAAACAAAATAATAAAACTCAGTAGTTACTCACTTGACGCATTTATAATTTCGATTATCTCTATATATAAAACTGTTTGTCCGGACTGACTGACTGACTGACTGATTGGTGATCAACGCACAGCCCAAACCGTAAGAGCTAGGGAGCTGAAATTTTCACTGTAGCTACCTTATGTGATGTAGGTGCACGCTAAGACGGGGTTTCGGGAAATTCATTTGAGGGGTGTTTCACACTTTTAGGAAAATCCATTCCTCCTTGGTAGAAATGGGGGTCAAAAATTTGGTGGGTGACGTTTCGCCCTCAAATTTATTTCCAAGTGTCTATATGAAAAATCATTTGAGACGTGTTTTTCACTTTTCGCAGAATTCAAACTTCTTCGGGGGGAATACGATTCAAAGATTTTTTGTGCGAAGTTTTAAATTGTGTCCGATTTGCTTCAAACTTATTTTTAAAGCTCTACATAAGAATATAATGAATACGTGTTTCAGCGATTTGGGAATATCCACTCGCAACATTGGTAAGTTGGCGGAAAACGTTTCTATGAAAATTGTTTGTTTACCGTCCGATAAGTTTCAAAATCATTTTCAAAGCTTTTTGAGAACGTTGATTTTTAACATACGTTCCACGGGGAAGGCCGGGTTATACCCGCTAGTATATACATATATGTATAGAGTGGACAAATATTTTAAGTCCCTTAACTGAACCTATGTCTATAAATGGTACTCTGCTAATGGCTATATCTTACTTATATAAGGTGTTACGATTTTATATTGGGAGCAGGACAAATCGGGAAAATGTATATATATCTTGCACAGTCTTGTAGCTAGGGTGACCATATATGGCATAAGTACTACTGATGAGCTTTTCTAAAGATAGATGACAAATCGGAAGTCAATAACTGTGAATAAACTTGGCCGGTAGCCTATTTAAAGCTGTTATTGGAATGTGATCGAGTTTGCAACAGACTGTGGCACCCGATTGGAAAATCCTGTTTGTTTTTGTATCGGCTATTGATGCTAGTAAGGGTTGCTGCCCGTTTTATAATACCCTTTTTAGACATTTGATAAAGATCAGCGGCTGTACTAGAAAACAATGTGTAATAAACAGAAAGGAGAACTTGCGACTGGAACGCAGCAGCCGCAAAGCACCGATGTGGCACGTATCATGCTAATGGAGTGCTACTTGAACTGGAGTGTGACAAGTCAAGAAACAATTCAGCTAATGAACGTGGGGGACTTAGTTCCAGCATCGGCAGACTCGAGCCTCGGCCTTAGCCTTAGCCTTAGCCAACAAGCCGAAAGGCCACTTGAGAGTACTCCATGCACCAAGCCTGCAAGCTGCAGCCATGCTCCATGCACCACAGTGGCAGAGGCTAATTGCAAAGGGCGCACCGAGCGGCCGCAGCAAGCGAAACCCGCCATTATGTAAGGCCGTTGCATGGAGCTGGGCTTTAAAGTCAAATAACATAAATTATGGCCAGACGGATAAAAAAAAATCAACTGAAAACAATCAGTAGAGTCGCGGCGAGCCGCAGGCTATGCCAGGTTATAAATAGCCGCGATTGCAATTGCGTCCAGCAGCAAGAGCGGCTACAACAACAACAACAACAACAACAGCAGCTGCTGCCAATTGAAAATCCTTTGGACTGTGCGTGCAGCGGCATCCTTTTTTTGCCTTCTTGCGCTCAATTCATTGCCCATTATGGCAATTTATATTTAATAAATAGGCGAAAAATGCGATGGCCATATTTTGTGAGCAGATCCAAGGCCAAGGTCATAGCCGCTGTCAAGGTTACAGTCCCAGCCTCGGTAGATGCAGCGCACTAACATGTTTATGTTATGTAAATGGACTGGATACAGTTGAGTGCGTGCACTGTTAGTTAACAGCAGGCCGCGCGTATTATGTGATGTGAGAGCTTAACGCTCTGTTAGTTATGCGCTTATGGTTCTGGTTAGTTTAACGCTCAGTTTTGGCTGTCTGTTAGACTAAAAATTTGATTTACCATTGATCATTTGTTGGGGCCCGCAATTTTGCCAACCGTTAAAATTTGGAAAAGAAAATTTCAGAAACTTTTGAATTTCAAACAACGTAAAACATGTATATTAAAAAATAGTATAAAAACTGATGTGCAACATCAACATCAAAGCTACGCATACTGACAAAAGAAAAAAAAAACTCCGACTGCTATGATAAAGAAACTAAAACCAGTCCAGATAATTATACAATAACCTAAAGTGATCAATGCACTAATGGTTTCTTTTTACAACGAGCACATTAAGAGCACAATTTCTTGATGTTGTTTTCCAGAATTAGATCGTTCACATTGCGATCATTAAGAAACGGTGCGCCGAGAGAACACGCCCCAGTTCGCATTTAGATATTTTTGTCTGTTAAGTATGCAACAATCATCTATTATTTAAGTCCCATCGTTAGATGTGACTTCTTGGCAAATGGAATGCGCTTCGCTTCGTTTCGAGAGTATGTCACTCCAGAGTTATGTAAATGTTCTTGTGTTGCAACAAGTGCCATGGCTACAAAAATAAATCCAGCCAATTCCGAACTATTGATATTGCGTATTTCCGTTGAATTCTTGTGAAAAATCTTTGAAACTCTATACATTAACTAATGGAAAATGTGTAATTAAATCTTGCAGCTTATATCTATACACAAACATGAGTTTGCAATGTATTTCGTGTTATATAAACGTTATAGTTATATAATAAGCGGTCGCCAGGCAAAGTACACGTTCTGCTGTTTATTTGCCGCAGAGCTGGAGAACACACACACGATTCTTACTCGTACAACTCCAGAGCTTATTTTCCCATACAAACCTTTTCGGCTCGTATCAGGCCGAGGTCGGGAGATTATGAGGTGCATTTATCTCGCTTAGTGTCGAGTATAATAAACAAATTGTTGGCCCATTTTGGCACCCGTTGCCAAAATCGAGAGGGGCAACAAATATACATACACATGTATCTATATATAAAATCTGTTTGTGTTGACTGATGACTGACTGATTGACTGACTGACTGACTGACTGACTGACTGATGGATTAACTGACCGACTTACTGATTGATTGACTGCCAGATTGACTTACCGACTGACTGACTAATTGACCGACTGATTGAGTGACTGACTGACTGACTGATTGACTGACTGAGTGACTGACTGATTATAAACATACAACTGAAACTTTTAAAGCTGTTAAGTTGAAATTTTTACTGTAGTTACGCTTTCTGCTGGAAACGCACGCTGAGATGAGATTTCAGACTATTCTACACGTAAATGTAAATTTATGAAAGATCTTTACGTAAGTTAATTTGAGACAAGCTTCACACCTTCTAACAATCCACCTCAGCTTGTGGAAATTGGAGGATAAAGGCTGCATAGCTTAATGTTTCATTTTTGCATTATTGGGTGTAAAGGTAGTACGTAGGTAAACAAGATAGTAGTAAGGTAAACAGGCCCAGTCAATGCCGGGTAAAATGCACTAGTTTTTATATATATAAATATCAATTATATATATGAAATAAATATAAATATACATAGCATAATGAGCATAGGAGAAAAGTGGAAAAATATTGTTTACAATGTTTAGGGTAAAAAATGGACCCGGTCAAAGTCGGGTAATACCCACTAGCTAATATATTTATATATATACACATATCATAGGAAATGGGTGGAAAAATAATGCCTAAAATGTTAGAAAAAAAGTACCAGGTCAAAGTCGAGTAATACCCACTAGCCTAAGTAAATATAAATATATATATTAATACGAAGCATAATCAGCATAGGAAATGGGTAGAAGAACATTGTGTAAAATTTAAAGAAAAAAAGCGGACCCGGGCGTAGCCGGGCTATGCCCGCTTGCTTATATATATATGTACATATATATATAAATTTGTATATTTGTGCATACCGTAATGAGCATATGAAATGGGTGGAAAAATATTATTTAAATTGAAGAGAAAATAACTGACCCGGGCAAAGCCGGACTATGTCCGCTTGCCTATATACATATATAAATACAGCAGATACCATAGAGCTGCCAACTTGGGCTAAGTAGTTTGAACGATTCGCCGCCTCTATATGGTCCTTCTGTGTGTGAGTGGTTCGGTCTGCGGCGCTTTCTGTTTCACTTAAACAAATATTTTTGCAACTTATCTCGAAATGTTGCGCCAAATGCAAAAGGTCGGGCGGGGCGGCGACAATGCGAAATGTTCCCTTAATGAGGCATTTAATTGTTAAATTGTTTTTATTTTTCTTTCTGTATTCGTATTATTTGCGCAATGTGATAATAATAGGTGTAGAAAATGTGTTCCTATGATTAAGATTAAGGCAAGTGTCTGGCTTTCATATACGCAAGCCTACGTGGGTTACATTCCGTTGACTATAGGTACACCTAGCTAATTATATTGTTCTACAAAGAAAAGAATCACGTTTCTGAATAGGCATAGCATCAGAAATATACACCAATTAAGTGTATATATCTGAGAGAACTGTAAACTCTTAACACAACTGAATGAACTGTCGAATCATTCATGGCCATGTTTTGCAGCTGTACATGGACTAAAGACTTGTTTGTACATCATATAAGTTATCTGGGTAATGAGATACCACTTGGCATGGACCCGATAATACGAACAGCTCCCATAGGCTGGTCTTAATGTACTTGCTTGTATAAGACAACTGATTAAATCGTCCGATAACGATTGCGAGCCAGATTGCCAGTTTTTATCTTCATCTGGCAGCTGTGCAAAAATATGTATGTATACGCATCCAGAGAGTTTAGTCACTTAGTATGTACTTAGTATCACATGTTCGAGTGGAATTACTTCTCGTTCCGGAAACGTTGCGAAGCAAATGTTTAATTAAAGTATGAGCTTCCAGGCAATCAAAGTGTGTGCTGCAGTTGCAACTGGCCCCAGAGATCAGTTTAGATTGTTTTCAGATTATGACATACATAAAACATTCACCATTTAACATAATTAACCTCGAGTGCGAGTCGTACAACGGGGGCTAACTGCAGGGGTCTTGGGGTTCAATAATTTTGTAAAGTTTAAATAATGTAAACCTCTCCCCGCCCCCCACCCGACTAAGTGTCATTGACATCTGCGCTGGCTAAAGCTGTACAAGTGCGCACAGCAAGCGGCAAATGTCAGCGACATATGCTAAACAAAAGCTGCATGCATTTCTATAATAAGGGTCGCTAAGCAAGAAGGGAGTTGCCACCTGTACTCGCCCAGGCTAAAAACCGGTTCGAAGCCGAACCGGTTTAAGCTATAACCCGGATAATGCGAATAAGGCTCAGCCGAAGATGTTCTAAATGATATAAGAGAAAACACGAAGGGCTGAAAAGGCTGAAAACCGGCTCGAAGACGAACCAGTTTAAGGTATAACCCTGATAATGTGGATAAGGCTCAGCTGAGGCTGGGCCTAAATCACACTACATTGTTCTAAATGATAAGAGAGAAGACAAGAAGGGAGCTGCCACCTGTACTCCCCCAGGCTGAAAACCAGTTCGAAGCCGAACCGGTTTAAGCTATTACCCTGATAATGTGGATAAGGCTCAGCCGAGGCTGGGCCTAAATCACACAACAGTGTTCTAAATGATAAGAGAGAAGACCAGACGGCAGTTGCCACCTGTGCTGGCCCAGGCTGAAAACCGGTTTGAAGCTGAACCGGTTTAAGCCATAAGCCGGATAATGTGGATAAGGCTCAGCCGGAGCTAGGCCTTAATCGCACTACATTGTTCTAAGTGATAATATTTTCAAGTGTTATTGCAAAATATATGAATTTGACGAATTTTTGTTATACAATACAATACAAATATGTATGTTAAATACATTAAATTCAGCTTATAAATAATTGAAATGTTCAATTGACATATGTAGGAACTGTGACGAACCATGTTTCAAACCAAAACGTAGGAATTTAGATGTCAAAATTCTGAGACACGAACCGAACTTTAAGGCGAGGCATTGGTTCGAATCATTAGCTGAACCAGCGACTTCTTTTTCAAAGGTTGACAGTCAGCCCCGCCCTCTCTCTCTTCCCTAGCTGACAGTCTGTTGGGCAGCATTGGCTGCAGTTTTATTGTCATTCGAATTTGATATTCCGGCTTATGCTTTTTGTTGACCCATTGGAATGTTGCGAGTTGTTGTTGTTGTTGTTGTTGATGTTGTTGATGTTGTTTCTGCTGCTCTTTTGTTCTATGCGTTGTCTGATAGCGAACTATGTTGGATTTATGTGGTTGTCACTAATGTGGCCAGTTCTCTCATTTGTTTTTCTTTAGAGAATTAAAGAGACGGCTAATTAACAATGCTTGGTCTTGTCTGAAAGAATTAACTAACGGCTACGGCGCTAAACAAATAGATGAATACTATGTGGAAGGGCATCCAGTGTTTATGTTAATGGGGTCGATCGGTCGACAGGGAGCCAAACGCATGAAAAGATCGCATAAGATCTAAAAAAACCGAAAATAAAACTATCTGTAGACAGACTAGCTGTGGCCAATACTATGATATTGTTCGCATTATATTGTGTTCTATTTTGGCCGAAACTGAAATAAAATAATTGGCACAATTTCAAGAACCCAACAACAGTGTCAGAAATGTTTAGATTTTTCATTTGGAAAAGTTTCGCTCATTAAATGCAGTTGGCTGCCAAAAAAAAAAAAAAGAAAAACAAGGAGGAGCAAAAGTCTAGAAATACACAAATTGCAGTGCGTAAAGAGCCAAAAAAAAAAAAGAAATCCACAAATTACGTGCAAAGACACATGTGTGGGCAGAATGTATCTTTTTGTGCATCTGATGTGCATCTTGTAATTTGTCACACGTCTGACCATCAGATCCAACAACATTGGGGCATCTCAAGCTCAAGTTTGATTTTGTCACATGCCACAAAAGATGTGGCTGAAGGTCGCAGAAGACAAGCGATAAAAAGCGGCATTTATAGGTTTCCAAAGAGCTCTTAAAATGTTTTCTTTTGATTTGTAGATACAAGTGTTCTTGTAATTGCACATTGCAGCAATGCAACCTGCTGTCGCACCAGATAAAACAACATGGTCTACAGCTCGAAGTTCCATCAGCTTTTACTTTTGCAAATTGCCACATGTTTCTGGATTGTTTTTTTCTTTCTT